TTATGAAATATTTGGTGGAATATAAAAAGGTTAAGAGCCACCGATCTACAATCGTTAGTCAAACGACCAAGTTATAATTTAACTTTCCACTAATATTCCATTTTCTTTTAGTCCCAACCGTTTCATTGTCAGCTCGAATTGAACCCGAATGGTATTTTAATTCGGACGAAAGACACAACAAAACGAAACTCACCTTTAGAATTTTGGCGCCATATGCAAATAACGCACTCGACGGGACGACAGGTAAAAAGCGCCGGTTAACGGGAGACTGAAATTATCGGCGTCCGACTTCCCACGCACGGTAAAGATGAAAAGCGAAGTGATTTAAAGAAAAAACTGGAACTAAATCGTCTAACCGATAGTAGTCGGTCCCAAATTCTACGCCACTTGTCTCTAACAGCCAAATCTCGCCGGAAACAACAACCGCATCAATTCGGTTTCTCGACCACGTGTATAACTATGGTGTTGCCAGTTGTTTTTACTTTTGTAACCAAAAAATTTTCTAAAACGTAGCCCAAACGTAGCCTACTGAAATAACAATTCGTTTTTGATAAATAACCTGAGATATGACGATAAAATTAAAAAGAATACACCAATCGTACTTTCCCGGCAATAACTTAATCACAGAACAAACGTTTTCGACCAATTTGCAGGCCTGTAAACACATTCGAAAATAAGGACCGCGAGACTCGAAATACATCCATAAACTGTAACTTACCGAATTATCGACAACACTCGTTATATACGCAAAATAGATTGCAATAAATTATGTAACAAATAATCTTACCAAAACGGAGTATAAAAATTAATTTCCCTACGGAATATTCATACCGGTAATTATTATTAATTTGAAAGTTGACTAATAGATTTCTTTATTGAACATATTTTTTATTAATAAACTTTATATCCTTTTTTTAACCCTTTCCGCCCTGTAGGCACTAAGAGGGCCTTTTTTTGCGTGCTCATTATGGGTTCGGCCAGGCCCACAATGGGACTGCTGGGTGTTGAGGGACGAGGCCCGACATATCCGAACGGACCACCGCCCGAAAAATTCCTGGGGTTTTTTCGACTCGTTCGGATTCGGGCCCGGATCCCCCAGAGCGGTAGGCTGCCACCTTGACCGCTCGGCCATCCGGCCACACTTTATATCCGTTGGTGCATATATGAAAATAATACATAAAAAATGCGTACCTCCCACAGTACAAAAAGCAGACTATGGAAACAAATTAAAATATTAAAAACAGACATATGGTATTTTTGATGAGAAATTTAATAAGGAAGAGTTAGATAGATCTTTTCCCCCTCAGTTAAAAGAGAAAAACAAAAACCTAATTAATAAAGGGTATCGATAAAACTAAAATGCACATACTGTAGAAAAGAAGGTGGTATTATGCAACCCCAATTACATCGTAGTGAATTGTAAACAAGATATCATAATTACACCCACATTTTTTGTGCGAAAAGTACTGGTGACTATTAAACTACATCAGTGTTTTTCAACCTTCTTGAATACGCGACCCCTTAACAATTTAAAAAATTCTGGCGACCCCCTAGGGTCAAATTAAAACTGTATCAGTGGTTTTAAAAACTGTGTATTTAATTTTCTTTCTGTTCAGACAGATTATTGTTGATTAAAACGAAAGTTTCAGGAGAATCGACAATAACTTAACACACGTAAGGTATGAAACTTTCTTTAATTATAACATTGGACACAGGGACCTGTTGACCTTTTTTTTAGGATCAAAATTTTCAGATTTTACTTTTCCACTTTTCTTTCTTTTTGCAAATCAGCTCAACACTTTTGCGGCTATGATTTTCTGGGGTGGGCCGTATCCACCCAGGCCCCTCCCTGGCTACACCCATGGTTGAGACCTAACAATCGATCAAAAAACCAATTGTACTGTAAAATAAACACGTACAGCCTTCGCGCTAAAATTGTAGTTTTTTAATATAGTGTAGGACCTACAAACACTTGTCTTTTTCTTTTACCCGCGACTCCTCTGGGGGTAGCGACCCACAGGTTGAAAAACACTGAACTAGATGTTCCTAATTGGATTTTTCGTTAGTGTAACTATAAGTATGGTTTTTGAAGACTTCTGTACAAAAAGTCAGAAAGTAAGCTTAGGGAAAACCGGTTGGTAATATGCAGTGGCGTAGCGTGGGTGTCAGCCGCCCGGGGCAAAGGAAAATTTCGCCGTCCCCTTATTTAGGTATCTCAATTTAAAAGACGAAAATTCAGTTTTGTCACGGAATAAGTAATGAAAAATTCCGTGCTAGTGTTGCCACCTTTTTAAAATTACCGACCCAGACGGCAGGTGAGGTTTGTTCGAACAGAAGTTCTTGACGCATGCGTATGTCATTTTGCAATGCGAAAAATAATGTGCAGTGCATGCCGGTTCTAAATCAATTACAGTTAGCGACTAGGGAAACTCGGGTAGGAGTAACGTAAATAACCTAGATGGCTTAGCTATATTGGATATTGGAGGTGTATGTGAATACGATTGAATCGTACAAGTAAAAAAAAAGGTCGACAGGTTGCGCACGGTATCGCCGGGTAAAATTAATACTTCATCCGGACGGTGAGTCAATTCCCGGACTGTCCGGATGGTAACACTATTTCCCGTGCTCATTTCATTCTGTCCGAATCGTAGGTGCAACGGAAATATGAAATAAAATGGTTCAAATTTTTATAAGATATTATTATTATTTATTGTAAAATTTTGCCGCCCCTAAAATGTAATTTTGCCGCCCTCTAAAAAGTGCCGTTCGGGGCGGCCCGTTCCTGCCGCCCCCACTACGCTACGCCACTGGTAATACGGAACTTTACTGTACGTTTTGAAAAAATGCTTTAATGTATTCAAAAACAAATAGGAAAATACTGTACAAAGAATGTTAAATAATTACAAAATCATTTACTCCAATGTATTTTATCGCAAAAGTGATTTAATAATAATAATAATAAAGAAATGTACAAAGAAGTTAATAATTTACAAAAATCACAAATATAATGCTCCTATAGTGCTAGGTATCTATTTTTACTTTTTTCATTTTCCTCCTATTTTTTCATTCATCTACCACATACTTTTACAAAAGTTAAACGGGTTTCGTATTAAAAGCACCAATTGGATCCGTATTTCACGCATCGCCATCTCGAATTAACTTATGTCTGTCAAGACCAAACTTTAAAAAACGTGAAAATCACACAGATTAATATATACCCCTAAGTCTCTGGAACAGAATACGTGTACCAATGAACCTACAACTACGCGATTTATATTTTAGAAATAATTAAATTCACTTAGCATTCAAAACTCGCGAATTTCGAAGAACACAAATATGCTGATTCACTACGGACAACCGTTTAACTGAAGTTAAAAGGGTTTTCCCCTCGCTATGGATGTCTGCCTAGTGCAGTTCAGCCACAATCCGCTACAGTTGGCCTTTATTGTCAGTTTAAAATGGAGGAGTTCCATAATACCACCTTTTCCTGTATACATTTTAAAAATTAATAATTATTTTAACCATTTCCACTCTTCGGGTAACCCAAATGCAATAAATCAAAAATAAACGAATTCGAACGAATATTTGAATTGGTTCCAAATTCGAAATATAATGTTCCAAACAAGATTTTTAGATTTTAGAATTTAAAATTAATCATTTCATTCGAGTAAGGTTATCATCAAGTAAGATAATTCTCCATTATAATGAGAATTAACTTACTTGCCCGAGCAACGCCGGCTCATCCGCTAGTTATTTCGATAACATTATTAACAATCGAAAGACAATGCAATATTTCCGACAGCAGAATTTATATCACGTCGATATTAAATGTAAAAAATTTCGCCAAAAAAAACTTACGACAGTCTAGACTAGTGTTTCTCAACAGGGGGCGATATCGCTCCCATGTGGGCGTTTTTCCACGTTGAGGGGGCGTTAGTAACAATTTATATTTTGGGGGCGAAAACAATTTTCTGGGCGATATAGTAAAACATTATATTAAGAATGACTAGATATTTTATTCGTTATATCGTACAATAGTTAAACAAATAACATTATACTAGTCAATAGTCTATTGGATGCAGTGCGAATTTGGCGTTAGCCTTGGCCCTCCGTTCGGAATTTTGAAGTGAAAAGGGCGCTACTACGTAACGGTTTTATTGAAAGGGGCGATACTACGTTGAAGGGAGCGACGATTCGTTAGAGGTTGAGAAACACTGGTTTAGACGACAGTCAAACTTTTTCTTAACAGTTTTTCTTAGGTAAATATAAGTATTGTAGAAAACAATAGTAGAGTAAAAGTCTTGTGGGTATCGCTACCAAGTTTAAAATTTTGAGCTTTCTACACAGTAGTTTTTCCTCTATCAGCGTCTGCAATAAACGGCTTTTTTGACGATTTTTGCACTTTTCGATTGGTTATATTTCGGCTACCGCTTTATAGAAAAACTTGAAATCTCGTACACTACCTAAGAAAACAAATTTTCTTTCGAACGAGATATTCAGAATTACTTCGGGTGTGTGGGGGGGCGAAATCGACCCCCAAAAATCGTCGATTCTGATTCCCGTATATACAGTCGGTCGGTAACTTTTTATTTGGGCCGTGACTCCCGATAACACGAGAAGTTTTAAAATGGCGTCAAATTTGACTTTCGGGGTTTTCGAATCACGTTTTGAGACCCCGAATCCAAAAAAATTCAGAAAACGAGGAAAGTTCCAACTATGTATATAGGTAAATTTTTGATAAAAGCCATACATGCGAGAAGAAACACTAATTTTCCAAACCCATACACCGATGTTAAAACGATATCTTCTTATTGTAGACATTTTCATACGTCATATTTTACTGTAAAATTATTATTTTTGCCAATTTATTTAATAATAAGTTAATAACGAGTCGTAAAATAAAAGCTTGCGGGATAAAGTGGATATATTTTTTCTCCACGAGAAAGTAAATCAACTTAGTATTCGAGCGCCTTTATTTTTAGACATTACAATTTTGCAAGTGATAGGAGAAACTCTAGTAACAACTCTGTTGCAGTAGTATATTTTAGTTACTAGGAAATAAAAGTAGTGAAACCATACAATTATATTCAGAGACACTCGCAATTCACATTGTCAAATAACAATAAAATTAAAACAGTATTGTCGTCCATCGTCGTTTACTAATTTTGCCAAAATATGTCAATGAAATAACAAAAATGGTAAGTAAAATTTTGAATTTTATTGTAAAAACACCCTTCCTTCGTGACAAATAAAAATTAATCAAATGTGGATAAGAGATGTGGGTTATAAGTCTATTTTTATTTTTTAATGTACTGTATATACCGATAATTATAAGAATAATTAACGAAAACTCTGAAAATAAATAATAATTTATATTTAATGAACACTTTTGGAAAGGGCAAAACGAGAGACAATCGATGCGCGACATGTGGAAAAGTGTTTACAACACGACGAGCGTTGAACATTCACGCGACGATTCACAGCGGCGAAAAGCCGTTCCAGTGCGAAATTTGTGGAAAGCGATTTTCTAATGACGAAATTCTAACAGGTCACACGAAACTCCATTCCGACCACAACCGCGAAGGTTTCGCACGTAGCAGTAAATCGACAACTGCACTAAGAAGACACCTTTTTTCAAAATTTCCCCATGTAAATATCGTTAAAATTTTCTACATGTCCTTATCTATGATATAATCGAGACGGGTTGATAATAATGATAATAATAATAAGTGCAGAGCCCAAACGGTTAGGAGTTGGAAGCTGAAATTTGGTACACAGATAGGGTACGTCACGAAAACGCACACTAAGAAGGGATTTTTCGAAATTCCTCCCGGGGGGGGAAAAACAGGATTAAGGCTTAACACTTCCATCAACAATGGAAGTGTTAAGTAACAATGGCGGTGTTAGGTAACAATGGAAGTGCTAAGTAACAATGGAAGTGTTAAGTAACAATGGAAGTTTTAAGTAACAATAAAAGTTTTAAGTAACAATGGAAGTGTCAACAATGGAAATCTTACGTAACAATGGAATTGTTAAGAGAAAGCGACGTGCGATACGCAGATGCAGTTTTTTCGTTTTTGCGGGAAATCGAACATATTTTTAGACCCATCTAAAAATTCTGTAAGGGGACCCAATTCTTGCATTCTGTGAAAACGGGTAGGGTTGACTGTAACGTAATAATCTTTATCTTAGTTATCGTTACTTTTGCCCGAGCAACGCCGGGCCCACCTGCTAGTTATTTAATATTCGAGCCAATATAATTCGGAAGATAATCAAATTCTACATAAAATAATTAGTTACACAATATTTTATCATTTTTTAAAGTAATAATCAAAGAAACTCTAATATACAGAAAAAAATCGAATTATTGTTTTTTTAAAGACCCAAAACATTTTTTTTTCGCTTACCACATTTGAACTTCATTTGAAAATTCATACTGTAATATTTTTGTTTTATGTTTCGTCAAGCAAAATTAATTGCCCCCTTTAATAACCTTAATAAAAGCCGCAGTTTTATGGAAAATACTCGATGTCATTCATCGCGGTCCCAGCCTTAGACAATCTTCCGTAGAACTGTGACTGTTTTTTGGAACCATAGAACTATTCGTACACGGTGTGCGACTACAGTAATACAGGCATCTCCTTACTCTACCTGCAAATGCCACTGGATGTCGATCGGTTTTCGTCAAAAATCAGACATCGCTACACCGCTGTTATCCGTGCACTGCCGAAGAGGGCAGCTGTCGTCTTACGTTCTCTCCCATCAACAGTGTTGCCAGTCTCATTTATAGTTGCCTCGGACAGGAAGTTCGTACGTCGAAATTACTTCGCTATTGCTCGTTTTTCCGACTTTTAATTGCACTTTTCCGGTTTTCAAATGAACGTGAAATGCAAGTAAAAAACAACGTTAAGTTAAATTTCAACGTATTTCACTATTAAAAAGAGCAAATATTTATTGTGACGACGTCACAATGCCGGACTGCAATTTTTAATCATATTTTTTAATTTATTTAATTTAAAATATATTCTCTTTGCCTGAGATGAGTAGCGTCTTGCCCCTTTACATCATACTTTCCCTTTAGCAATGGAGTCATCTATTTAACTCCTTTCGGGGAAAACTTTAAATTGAAATAACGTGACTTCCTATTTGCATCCGAAGTTCGTATATCGGAAATTAATCGGGTCCTCCCGCTCCTAAGCTTTCTGTATCTTGTCTCGACTTTTATGTATCTAATTCCGTTATGGAGATTAAGAAAGAAAAGACGAACGGACAGACGACCGTGGGAATTTATAGGTCTACAATTTTTTTTTCAAAATTGCAGCCGAAGAATCAAATCTACAAATACTAAAATGATATTTTCTCATAAACATAAAATACTTTCTTTATTGAGGCGTGTAATTTTTATTTATTGTTGGCGTCGAACGTGTCCTTTATTCTTAATATCAATAACTTTTTTCAAAATATATGAAAATTAAATAATTGATTACATACGTTATAACAAATATTTAACTGTATTGAATGTATGAAATTATTTGTAAGGACCCGAAGGTGAGAATCCGTCGATGTGATGTTTGCCTGAAAATTTGTAAATCCGCAACGGAATTAAAATTACACGCGAAAACTCATTCGGAGGAATGGCCACATTCGTTAGATGTTCGCGACGAAGCCTTTACGCAGAAATCACATTTCCGGAAACACAAGGAAAAATTTCCATCGTACTTGCAGGTAGTTGTAAAAAATATTTTTAATTGTCGAATATTAAAATGCGAGGAAACTAAATTCACCTTCATAAGTAAGACAGGTCACGTTACAAATCTTCTTATCATACTTTCTTCCGATGAAATCTATTGTTTTAAATATAAGATTTAAAGTAAATAATTTTCTTTCTATCGTAATTAACATAATTCTGATATATAAATGTAAACGGACTTAGTAAATGTGCATCTAAAGAATCACCCATTAACAACAAGACGATTATTTACAGGTCGACGTTTGCGTCATTAGTTACACAACCCGATCACAAGATCTTTCTGTAGTTTGATACTTCAAAAATTACATTTATTTTCAATTACAACGAACCTTTAAGATTTCCTACGATTAATTGTATCTCGCTCGATTTATATTTAATTTTTCGTTCTTCTTTATATTTTACTTTCATACATTACTACTTAATTTTTCGGTAAAATTGCGGAGAAAAAATTTTAATTATACAGATTAAAGTTCTACTTTGTATTTATGGGCAATCTTTTTTTAATTATTTTCAAGTAGTCCATAAATTTGTACTCACGAGATCTTTGTATCAGAATTTACGTTGATTCGAATGACCTATTTTCTATTTTTACATTCCACGAAAGGTTAATAAATATTAAAAATATAAGAGTTAAATGAAATCTTTCGGTTCATATGTAATTATCAGTCGTTTAATTAATATGTAATATAAAACGCAATGATGAATCTTAGCAAAATTCTAATAACGATATTTTCAAACATAATTTTATCCTCGTCAGAAAACAAATCGAAAATAATTTACAAAGTATGAAAGATTTAAATTAAATTTTCTTTTAAATGTAAGTTTTCAATATATATAATCTTTTATGCGATTCCAAATACAGCGAAACTGCCATTAACGGACACTCTTGAATAGCGGGCACCTCTACTACTTTTTTACAATCCCCAGACCCTTCGAATAGGACATCCATTATATACACCTGTAAACAGCGGACAACCTAAATAACGGACCCCGTCGTTCGTAACCCACCTTACGAAAATGTAATACCACGTCTTCGATACTCCGAAAGAATTAATTACGGACGAAATATTTTAAAATTACAAGAATCGGTTCAAATAATCGTTCAGACGACGAATTTTGATCGCAGACGTCATTCTTTATCTCTTTAGAGAAGTTTGATCTAGTTAAGGTTATCCATTCGTTCGACGAGAACCGTAGTGCAGTGGTAACGAAAAACAAACTTAAGATCGTAAATGACGTCATAAATGTAACATTCCGAAAATATTTCTCATCGCCTTCGTAACTCGACATTTAAACGCGATTCAATTAAGACGATATTTTTACAGCGAAAAAAGAAATAATATATTGTATATATATTATAATTATATATGCTAGGTGTACTTTTCGGTATATTTACATTCCTAACGCAAATGTCACGTTTTCGTAATTCACCATGCTCTTCACTTATCCTGGCCGGGTTAAGATACACCTTAGCCGCCGGCATTTAGTACTTCCGAATAGCAAACACCTCTAAATAGCGGGCAAACTTCTCGGTGCCGACGGTGTCCGCTATTCGGAGATTATACTGTAATTGTTTCGAGACTTATTCTTATTCGCATAGGTTTCTTATACTCACAAATCGTATTATTTTTATCCAAATTAATAGAAACTCGCATACTTTGTTACAAAAGAATAAAATCTTATATAAGATTTAATGCCGTAAGTTTCTTTTATCAATTAAAATTTATAATCTTTTACGAGAGAAAGAAGACAATTCTTCGTCATCCTACTCTATAAAACGTCAAAGGTGCCATTTTGCTCCAATTGGGTGCCATTTTGCGACCGTCATAAATGTTGCGAGTTAACAATTACACTATTCATTTTTATATTCCAAAAATCATCAACTTTTCCTGCAAACATTGTAAGCTTTGTGTTTCTTATGAAATACAAGCTACGCAATATATTCAACTATTTATTATTTAATATATATTTAAAATACTTTCGTTACTCCTAACAATCGAACAAATAGTCAAATCATAAAATAATTTATTATAATTAGAGCCCACACGAATATTGTTTGTATATATAAAATTATATGTAGGAATGCAAAAGAAAATCTATATCTTTGAAAGTTGTCACAAAAATCATGTAAATACTGCACAAATTTTCGTCCGAATTACTTAAAAATTAATTAACTATTCAATAAATTTATATTAATTATAGTTACTTCAATTCGATAGTATTATGTACGCTTTCTGTTTTAGAAAAGCATAGAAAATGTAGAAGAGCCAGCATATTCCTTTGAAAGACCATCGACCAGTGCTCAGACAAAGAAGCCAATGGAATATGATAAAACTGCTTCGGGACAAATTATTAATACTTTTACTTCGAAGAACACCGAAGAATTGATTGAAGACATGACCGTGGATTTAGAAAATATGCAGTTGGACAAATCGTTACGACAGAAATTTGANAGTAACAATGGAAGTGTCAACAATGGAAATCTTACGTAACAATGGAATTGTTAAGAGAAAGCGACGTGCGATACGCAGATGCAGTTTTTTCGTTTTTGCGGGAAATCGAACATATTTTTAGACCCATCTAAAAATTCTGTAAGGGGACCCAATTCTTGCATTCTGTGAAAACGGGTAGGGTTGACTGTAACGTAATAATCTTTATCTTAGTTATCGTTACTTTTGCCCGAGCAACGCCGGGCCCACCTGCTAGTTATTTAATATTCGAGCCAATATAATTCGGAAGATAATCAAATTCTACATAAAATAATTAGTTACACAATATTTTATCATTTTTTAAAGTAATAATCAAAGAAACTCTAATATACAGAAAAAAATCGAATTATTGTTTTTTTAAAGACCCAAAACATTTTTTTTTCGCTTACCACATTTGAACTTCATTTGAAAATTCATACTGTAATATTTTTGTTTTATGTTTCGTCAAGCAAAATTAATTGCCCCCTTTAATAACCTTAATAAAAGCCGCAGTTTTATGGAAAATACTCGATGTCATTCATCGCGGTCCCAGCCTTAGACAATCTTCCATAGAACTGTGGTTGTTTTTTGGAACCATAGAACTATTCGTGCACGGTGGGCGACTAATACAGGGATCTCCTTACTATACCTGCAAGTACCAGTGGATGTCGATCGGTTTTCGTCAAAAATCAGACATCGCTACACCGCTGTTATCCGTGCACTGCCGAAGAGGGCAGCTGTCGTCTTACGTTCTCGCGCATCAACAGTGTTGCCAGTCTCATTTATAGTTGCCTCCGACAGGAAGTTCGTACGTCGAAATTACTTCGCTATTGCTCGTTCTCCCGCCTTTTAATTGCACTTTTCCGGTTTTCAAATGAACGTGCCTGGTATAGTTATAAATTTGCTTGTCTAAACGATCATTTATAATAAATGCAAGTAAAAAACAACGTTAAGTTAAATTACAACGTATTTCACTATTAAAAAGAGCAAATATTTATTGTATCAACGTCACAATGCCGGAGTACAATTTTTGTTCCGCCACAATGCTCTTTGCCTGTGATGAGTAGCGTCTTGCCCCTGTACATCATACTTTCCCTTTAGCAATGGAGTCGTGATGGTCATCTATTTAACTCCTTTCGGGGAAAACTTTAAATTGAAATAACGTGACTTCCTATTTGCATCCGAAGTTCGTATATCGGAAATTAATCGGGTCCTCCCGCTCCTAAGCTTTCTGTATCTTGTCTCGACTTTTATGTATCTAATTCCGTTATGGAGATTAAGAAAGAAAAGACGAACGGACAGACGACCGTGGGAATTTATAGGTCTACAATTTTTTTTTCAAAATTGCAGCCGAACAATCAAATCTACAAATACTAAAATGATATTTTCTCATAAACATAAAATACTTTCTTTATTGAGGCGTGTAATTTTTATTTATTGTTGGCGTCGAACGTGTCCTTTATTCTTAATATCAATAACTTTTTTCAAAATATATGAAAATTAAATAATTGATTACATACGTTATAACAAATATTTAACTGTATTGAATGTATGAAATTATTTGTAAGGACCCGAAGGTGAGAATCCGTCGATGTGATGTTTGCCTGAAAATTTGTAAATCCGCAACGGAATTAAAATTACACGCGAAAACTCATTCGGAGGAATGGCCACATTCGTTAGATGTTCGCGACGAAGCCTTTACGCAGAAATCACATTTCCGGAAACACAAGGAAAAATTTCCATCGTACTTGCAGGTAGTTGTAAAAATATTTTTAATTGTCGAATATTAAAATGCGAGGAAACTAAATTCACCTTCATAAGTAAGACAGGTCACGTTACAAATCTTCTTATCATACTTTCTTCCGATGAAATCTATTGTTTTAAATATAAGATTTAAAGTAAATAATTTTCTTTCTATCGTAATTAACATAATTCTGATATATAAATGTAAACGGACTTAGTAAATGTGCATCTAAAGAATCACCCATTAACAACAAGACGATTATTTACAGGTCGACGTTTGCGTCATTAGTTACACAACCCGATCACAAGATCTTTCTGTAGTTTGATACTTCAAAAATTACATTTATTTTCAATTACAACGAACCTTTAAGATTTCCTACGATTAATTGTATCTCGCTCGATTTATATTTAATTTTTCGTTCTTCTTTATATTTTACTTTCATACATTACTACTTAATTTTTCGGTAAAATTGCGGAGAAAAAATTTTAATTATACAGATTAAAGTTCTACTTTGTATTTATGGGCAATCTTTTTTTAATTATTTTCAAGTAGTCCATAAATTTGTACTCACGAGATCTTTGTATCAGAATTTACGTTGATTCGAATGACCTATTTTCTATTTTTACATTCCACGAAAGGTTAATAAATATTAAAAATATAAGAGTTAAATGAAATCTTTCGGTTCATATGTAATTATCAGTCGTTTAATTAATATGTAATATAAAACGCAATGATGAATCTTAGCAAAATTCTAATAACGATATTTTCAAACATAATTTTATCCTCGTCAGAAAACAAATCGAAAATAATTTACAAAGTATGAAAGATTTAAATTAAATTTTCTTTTAAATGTAAGTTTTCAATATATATAATCTTTTATGCGATTCCAAATACAGCGAAACTGCCATTAACGGACACTCTTGAATAGCGGGCACCTCTACTACTTTTTTACAATCCCCAGACCCTTCGAATAGGACATCCATTATATACACCTGTAAACAGCGGACAACCTAAATAACGGACCCCGTCGTTCGTAACCCACCTTACGAAAATGTAATACCACGTCTTCGATACTCCGAAAGAATTAATTACGGACGAAATATTTTAAAATTATAAGAATCGGTTCAAATAATCGTTCAGACGACGAATTTTGACCGCAGAAGTCATTCTTTATCTCTTTAGAGAAGTTTGATCTGGTTAAGGTTATCCATTCGTTCGACGAGAACCGTAGTGCAGTGGTAACGAAAAACAAACTTAAGATCGTAAATGACGTCATAAATGTAACATTCCGAAAATATTTCTCATCGCCTTCGTAACTCGACATTTAAACGCGATTCAATTAAGACGATATTTTTACAGCGAAAAAAGAAATAATATATTGTATATATATTATAATTATATATGCTAGGTGTACTTTTCGGTATATTTACATTCCTAACGCAAATGTCACGTTTTCGTAATTCACCATGCTCTTCACTTATCCTGGCCGGGTTAAGATACACCTTAGCCGCCGGCATTTAGTACTTCCGAATAGCAAACACCTCTAAATAGCGGGCAAACTTCTCGGTGCCGACGGTGTCCGCTATTCGGAGATTATACTGTAATTGTTTCGAGACTTATTCTTATTCGCATAGGTTTCTTATACTCACAAATCGTATTATTTTTATCCAAATTAATAGAAACTCGCATACTTTGTTACAAAAGAATAAAATCTTATATAAGATTTAATGCCGTAAGTTTCTTTTATCAATTAAAATTTATAATCTTTTACGAGAGAAAGAAGACAATTCTTCGTCATCCTACTCTATAAAACGTCAAAGGTGCCATTTTGCTCCAATTGGGTGCCATTTTGCGACCGTCATAAATGTTGCGAGTTAACAATTACACTATTCATTTTTATATTCCAAAAATCATCAACTTTTCCTGCAAACATTGTAAGCTTTGTGTTTCTTATGAAATACAAGCTACGCAATATATTCAACTATTTATTATTTAATATATATTTAAAATACTTTCGTTACTCCTAACAATCGAACAAATAGTCAAATCATAAAATAATTTATTATAATTAGAGCCCACACGAATATTGTTTGTATATATAAAATTATATGTAGGAATGCAAAAGAAAATCTATATCTTTGAAAGTTGTCACAAAAATCATGTAAATACTGCACAAATTTTCGTCCGAATTACTTAAAAATTAATAAACTATTCAATAAATTTATATTAATTATAGTTACTTCAATTCGATAGTATTATGTACGCTTTCTGTTTTAGAAAAGCATAGAAAATGTAGAAGAGCCAGCATATTCCTTTGAAAGACCATCGACCAGTGCTCAGACAAAGAAGCCAATGGAATATGATAAAACTGCTTCGGGACAAATTATTAATACTTTTACTTCGAAGAACACCGAAGAATTGATTGAAGACATGACCGTGGATTTAGAAAATATGCAGTTGGACAAATCGTTACGACAGAAATTTGAAGAAATGGAAATTGAAGAAAAGAAATTCCAATGTCAGTTCTGTCAACAAGAATTTCCTGACCAAGTTTCGCGAAAGAAACACGAAAAAGAATTCCATCACTCTAATTAAATAATTCTCGACGCTTAATTTTGAAAATTATCCATGTTTTGGTGTTTCGTAACAAATCAAAATTGAGTTTTTGGTATTACAATTTCGGTTACTGTAAACGTTAACTGTAAAATCTACCCAGAAATTAGCCTTTTAAGACTCGAGTCACGAATTTGCTATTTTCTAAATGTGAATTTTGAATATTATTGTACTGCCTTTTGTAAAAGTTTAATAATAAAATATGCACTAACATTTTATAGTCACAAGGTACGAAGGTAACACAAAAGAATTGCATGATAATTACGTGTTCGTTATAAGCAGCAGCAATTTACCTGGGACGAAAGGTATTGTGTTTTTAGTTTTCTGCCGTACGAGACGAATTTTTACAGAGGACAAGACTATGAGGATCAAGGCTTGAAATATGTGGCAAAGAATGTCTCCTAAAAGTCAGAAAGTCAATTTGAGTGGAACGTTCAGAAATGATTTATCATTTCTGACGTTCTGACATTCCACGCAAACTGTAGCCAACTCCTGTAGATGTCGCGGTGTAAGGATGCTACCCGACGATGGTCTATCTTCGGTGAAAGACGGGGATACTCGCTCTTCCCGCCATCGGTCGGGACGACGCGAGAATTTACGAATGTACGGGGGTAGTGGTTACTGGACCCAGAGACTCACACGGACAATGATTGACAATGTCACTCGCATTTAATATAACAATAGGACGCGCTTACACAAGGTACAACGAAGTCCTTTCGGAAGCAGTCAAAAGGAAAAATAAAAATTTTCGTGAGGTAAATCTCGGAGGTCGGAAGGCCACGGGACGGCGATATCCTATCCGGCAACGGTTGGAAGTTGATTTCTGGTGGAGGCTTCTTTCTCGTCGCTCCCTCGGAACTTCGGATTTTTTCTTATCCTCGGACCCACGAGCGGATGATCTTCGCCACAGCCTCCCCGTGTCCTCGAAATCCCAGCTTTTATACGATTTTACTTCCAATTTCCGATTTCTAGTTGGTCCAAACTGGTGGTCTCCCCCACCTCCATCGGTCCCCGATCTGTGGATAGGGACGCGATTCGGGTGGCGGGAGTTGTTCAACACTCTGTAAGGATCTCTCTTCCCAAAAGTAGGGTCACGCTCCTCCTCGAGCGATTCTCGTAAATTACCGACAATGTGTTTTTCCTCTGCCTCGGACAGGACGCAGCCGTGTCCGCGCGGTCCCAGCCGCCACCCCCTCCGAGGAAGCGTTGGCTTTTTCCGCTTTAAACTCGGTGTAGGACAGGGATGTCCAATCCCGCGGGCTGTGGGCCGCACTGCGGCCCACTGCACCCTAATTTTTTTAGGTATATTTTCATTTATTTTGGTAAAATATGTCGTAAAACTTATTCTCGTTTCACTGGATACACATTGGTGTTTTATCTAGAGAACTGTTATGCATGCGGGGTAGTACATACTATTGTAAACGATTCTTTTCGTGCACGAAAAACATCAAAACTACTGAAAGAAATAAGCTGAGTAATTTCCATTTAAGATTATTAGATTCTTTCGTACTTTTAATCCTTCTATTATATTATATTATAGTATTTACAAAGAACAAAGCTTATCTTACGTAAGGGTTTATCACACCGAGTGACCAATCTAACACATTTTTAAAATTCTTCACTCTTCTACTGTACGCAATTTGAAAAATGTTTAAAACGTCTTCGATCGATCACTCGGCGTGATAAACCCTTACGTAAGATAACCTTTATAGTTATATAAATCAAATACTACAGTATAACGAACATTAAAACGAAAACCATATAAAATAACGAGTTTGGTTATTTTAGCCTACCATTGTCACGTTTATCGCGATACCCGGATGGTACGAAATGGCACAATTTCATTGGTCAAGTAGACAGGAATTAAAAATATTTCTTAAGTTTTTCAGATATAGGCTAATATTTTCTAATGTTACCTCTGTGAAAATGTTCCATTCGTAGCGAATATCAAACGGTCACTCGCCAACCAATCAAATTTCGAAGAAAATGGACCAAACACTTAAACTCGGCACCCTCGAAAACCGCTTAAAGCATATTTTGTGCTGGCTTTTGCGGTAACCACCTTGTATTAAGCAATTTCCCTATTCGAATGCCACCATACCGCCGGTCCGATAGGAAGAAGGGACTGTTGCGGAAGGGAGTCGAAGTTAACTCTATCAAAAGTAGTCGTTACCATCCTCTCTTCCGGAAGGAACTCAATGACTACTCATTATAGAATTCTGTTTATAGAAAAATTATTGGGCTGCAATTTAAAAAAGTTGTACGCCTATAAATTCCGACTGACCTCCCCTGTTTATCTGTTTGTCCGTCCTTCCGAGAAAATAATTACGTAGATGAAAGCCGGGATATGGAAAGTGTGAACCGCCGGGGAGGTCGGGAATCGTCGACTCTCCCTTTTCGGCTACAGGTCGTTAAACCCGCTCATTTGTCAAGATGGCTAAATTTCGAACGCGGTCCCGAAGGGTCGGGATTCTTTTTGTCAGGTCGAGTGGAGGAGGTGAGAGGGGTCGTCGACGAGGCGTAAGGCGATATACGAGTAAAAGGACACCATTTAACAATGAAACAACGATTTATTAGATTAACGAAAAGAAAAAAAATTAAATAATACAAAATCTAACATCTGGGGAAATGAATTTACTTCGCTAGCTCCTCTCGCGGAGAGAGAGTTTACATTATTTGTTTCATACCTCTAGTAGATTCAACGTAGGCACAGAGTAAAAATTTTCGGAGACGTAATCCTTTCCGACCGTTGATGTGAGACTCCCCCGAGGAGGGGGAAAGAAGTCGCTTTTATAGCTTCGGGTAGGAGAAATTAGTCAGGTGATCTCCTATTGTGTGAGGTAGAGTTGGTCCTGCAGGTGTGGAGGTTAAAGTTGTTCCCGGAACCAAAACAAAATAACGAATTCGGACTTTAACTATAAAATTTTTATCTTGCAGCAGAGTAATGTCATTGTTCGAGGGTTGAATGTTTATATTAACGATGAAACTTATAAGTTTCGATCGATATTTGATTCTTTTTTCCGACAATGTTATTTTAACGAGGAGGCGACAAATTTATTTTAAATACTTCGAAAATTTAGGGAGGAAAATGAACAATATTGGGCTTATTCTGAGGTCGGATCTCAGCATATGAAGCATATGAGCAGGAGGCCCAAATAAACTGTATAAGAATGTCTGGTTTCGAACGGGAGTAACGTTACTTCGATTCAAAATTTTCCCCCCCGAAAAAAGTTAGATAGCTGACCGACACGACTTTATTGCTAACCGGAAAAGTATGGTGTACAGGGGCGAGACACCGCTAAAAAAATCGAGAACATTGTAACATAAAGTTGCAGCATCGCACAATAAATAATCGCTGGTTAGAATTAGTTTAGTTTATTTGGTTACGGCAACGCGACACTTCAGCCATCTGCCAAGGAGGATGCATCCCAGAAAGACGTTTATGTAAAGTTGGCCCCAATTGAAGTGTTCCTAACGCGAAGAAAACCCAGAAAACTCCACTCGGTCAGTCCGTTGACCATGCGCGAACCCGCGACAGACTAACTGCGTTCGGCGGTTTTATCCACTCGGTTACTGGAGTGCACTTATTGGACTGCAGTTTGAAAAAAACAGTAGAGCTATAAATTCCCAGTCGTACGTCCATCTCTGACCTTCTTTAATCTCGAAAACGGAGTTAGATAGATGAATCTCGCCAATGATCCTGATTTGGGAGCCCCGCATTACGCTGTGGGAGCTATGATTTTGAATGTCCATTTCCAGTCATTTGCGGATTTGCCTTTGGGAAAACTATCAATCTCCGAAAGGCACGTGTTTTCAGTTCGTGGATAGCTTTTTTCCATTTTTCGCTATATTTTCCGGCTAGTGTATCCTTATAATTGTATGAACTTCTCGGTTGTACTTATATATATCGTAATTATACTCTACAACACGAAGACTTGGTCCAATTCCGAGTTAGATTCCTTATACTTTATTGACACGTCAGTCGGAAATATCGATCCATCCTACTGCATCGGCTGATCTCAACGTTGTCAGACTCAATCGTTACGAGAGAAATTTTAAAAGTTTTTTTGCTCTTCGGCCACAAAGAGCATTTTAATCATCTCGGTCAGAAATTCGTACCACCATTCGGAATTCTTTCGGAAATGGCAATTATCTTCAGGTCATTTTGTATAACATTTCTGTTTAAAAAATTCAGCAACGAGTTGCTCAATTTTCCCGGTAACTTTCCTAAGTCCGACCCTACTGGAGATACACCTGATCCATTTATCTCCACCCCTCGATCTTTAAACACCAAAAGTTAATAGCACGAACAATACACAAACTTCCTGCAAAATTTCAGAAATTTTCGAAAGCGCAGGAGTTAAGTTTGTTGGGAAACTGGTCACTATTTAGGCGTTACGGACGTGGAGAAAATCCGGAAAACTCCACGTGGCCAGCCCGTCCGAGCGAAGCGCGAACCCACGACCGAACTCCCAGTGTTCAGGGTACGAAGACCGCTTGGCCACTAATGGGCCCACAACAGTTAAGCTACAAAGAAGGTGAACAAAATCGTGCCACCACACACACACTAATATCCATAAGTACAGAAATTACTCCCAAATTTCTTTGCCTTTGGCGACGTTTCAATGTTTTCCGAGTCCAAAAATGTAAAACTCTTCGGGGGGGGGGGTAATTTTTGACCGATGGCCATTCTTTCCCTCTGCTATATGTAGCAGCAGGGAAAGTAAAAAAAATATGTTCTTGAAAACATGGCACTGTTTAAAGGTGGCCTTTGTTGGAGGTGCGACGTTATATTATATAGGCTCTGTGGACAAAATCTGCTACCAAAACGTAAACGTTGATTTTGACAATAAATACTTTCTAATTACTAAATGCAAACATTACCCTACAGTTCATATAAAAAATATAAATGTTTCGAAAAGTTCAGTTATTATTGCAATTTATTAATTAATATTAAAGTTTAAATAAGAATTTTCTGCATTTATTTGAACATTCTTCAACATATTTTGCAAATTTCACGTTTGTTTTCCTTTCATAATGCTATATTTCTGTTCTTAGTCAAATCTCGTTTGAATAGGAAACCCCAACACATATAGAATAATCTTCAAATTTTAATTAATTGTGCAATGAATTACACGAGTACTTTATATAAAGTGCAAAACTATTTACCTAAATTTGCATATAAACATAAATTATTCTTATAAATAATACTATTCTACGTTTCCATTATTTTTTCTATCAAATATTAATTTTATATATCAACACAAAACACATAGACACACACAGAGAAACTGTTATAGCGTACGAAAATACTTTTTTTCCTTACATCTCTTTGTCCTTAAGGCACTGATGTGATTTAAATCGTAGTCATTACGCATTCGACCGGGCCCAAGAGATAAAGATGGATCTGATATACCGGGACAAATTTTCCATAAAAAAAATTAGAGGTTCTTTACTCACACGAAAGCACATTTTTCTGAAAAAGGAAAGGCCCCGTAGGATCCATCCGGTCTTCAGTGAATTTTTGTTTCGTTTAATTAATTATGTTTGGCGCTATCTATTATGATAAATTTTAATAATGAATAAAATTTTCACTAAGTCTGATCCCACTCGAGATGTCACCCTCTATTTCTCGTTTTTTGGTCGGATGGCCGAACAGCCTGCCGCTCTGAGGGACCCAAGATCACATCAGGATAGGTCGAAAATCCCCAGAAATTTTTTTGGGGGTGATCCGACCGGATATGCCGGTCCCCGTCTCTCACCGTCCGGCTGCCCCAATGTGGGTCCGGCCGAATCCATAATGGGCTTGCTAAAAAAGAGCCTCTTAATGCCTACAGGGCGAAAGGAGTTAAAATAAATCCCCTCTATCTTTTTTTTAACTTATAACCTCCAGATTGTAATAGTTATCAACACCATATATATAGAAGTATCCCTGTCAAATTTTTAAAAGTTTTGGTCCATGAGATCCCGAGATATAAAGGAAAAAAAAGGTCAACACAGAGAATTTCGTATCCCGTTTTTGATATTTTGGAATCGGGGCCCCTTAAAACGTCGATAAAAGTAAATAATGAAACAAGAAAGAAAATATTTATATGCAGTTTCTTCCCACAATTCTTATAAGTGAATAAAACTTTATACCGTTATCCTAATTGCAGTTTACTCAGGATAGACAGAAGTAGGAATTTCTCTCCCTGTATCGAATGCTTCATTCCTGTTTTCTTCTTGAATCTCTGCATCTACGGGTTGAATGGCATTGTCAAAACACGAATTATGCTGAATTGAAATGTATAAATTCCTAGGTTCAGCCTATATTAAAAATAATAATTGTATTAACTTCAATCATTCAAGAATATATCAGAATAACACTTACAGTGGGATATTTGATAACGACATTTCTCAGCTCGCTACTAAAAGTACTATAATATATTCCAAAAACGAATGCGAGTGCCCACTCGGTAACGGTACTGAGCAAATGATAACCATATCCCTGCAACAGCAAATATGATGAGTGTAACAAAATGATTTATATTTATTTTAAAGTACTTAATAGATCTTACCCCATCATCTGGTCCCCACACGGGTACATATTTAAGACTTCTGGTAAACATAAATAGCGATACAGCACCAGATAATACTGCTAAAATGTAATTAAGAAAAAATGTAAAAAATAATTTCATCTGTATTCTTGATACGCAAGGCGGCCATAATTAATGTTTTCCTATTCACACAATCCATAGTTGTTGAAAATAAGCGGATCGACATCAAAATTTGTCTAAAGAGTAAGCAAATCGCAGAGAAAGATTTAGTTTAAAAACTTCCGCTAGGGAGCTCTTTACAGGAAAATACACGATACAAAACAACAAGAATACAAATCAAACTCGTTTGTTCCTCAATGTGTACTCCATCGTTCGGGTGTAAAATTTCACACCCGAACAACGTCCATCGCTTTCAAATTTGAAGGTGGTAGACAGTATTCTACAGCTGACCGCAACTGATCTTCAGCGAAGCATCACAGGAGAGCAGTTCCTTTAAGTCTGCCAAAGTTGCAACATTTCCGCGATAAACCACATTCCAAACCATACACGCCAAAGTGCACCCAGCGAAAGTTTTTAAACTAAATTATATTTTGCAGAAACCTTTTCTGCATACTTTGCACAGTCTGTACATAAATTTTGGTGATAATCCGTTTATGGCCATCTTGTATTTCTAAAGGAAATGTCAAGAAGGATACTTGTTGATCCCAATGAAGCCGCTAGTACAGTTAAGACGAGTCTGAAATGAGCCATTCTCATTGTGTTCAAAACGGGACAAGCTTTGTAGGAAATGTAAGTTTGAAGTGCAAAATAAGTAATTCCCCCACCACCACTCATGAAAGCTCCAAAGAGATGAGGTATAATTGCACTACTAGGCTACAATATATTATTAAAATATGCTTCATTAATGCATCACAATTTTTAATGAACAGACAAATGTTTTCAGCTTATAAAAATAAAAACATACTTGAAAATTTGCAGCCATAGATGCTCCCAAACACATAAAGGGGGCTATCCAAATAGAGATCCGATTTAAACATTGGACTAAAACATAATTTGACAGACTGGGATCTCTTAAATAGCAGGTATTCAAGTACAGATACTTCGCATACATGGTAAGAAATGCTATTATTTACAGAAAAAATTAGTGAAAATAAAGCAAAATTGTAATTTTTTGAGAGAAGACTTACCAAAAATGCATCCTATGTTGAGAAATTGCGAAAAAATTGTACTTTCGGGCGGCTTATTACCGGTGTCACTTATATAAGGAAAAAGTGCTCTTACGTGATTCAACTTCACTGCAATCGTGTATCTAAAACACAGAAAACAAATGAAATCTATACAAAATGATGTTTGTGCAGTTATAACATAATTTACTCACGTAGTAAGGAAAGTTCCCCCGAAAATAATATTCATCAATAAAGGGAGCAGATGCGCTTTCATAAAAGCCATTCTTCACTTTTGAATACAGTATAGCTGTGAAAATTTCTTGCAGTTATTTAAATAACATTAATTCTTCAAATTTATTCCATTTAAAGCAAATTTATTCTTAGTTAACTTAATAAATTAATATTTTATTTCAAAAATATACTGTTCAGAATAATTATATTATTTCAAACTACTCTCTATGGTGTCCGCCAGAAGCCCAGTGGATAAAACCATTGAATATTGGTAGCTAGTTGCAGCTTTGCGCCTCGGCCACGGGCTGGCCAGGTAGAATTTTCCGGGTTTTCTTCACCTTAATTCTACCTAGCAGTTTCCTACGGAAAACCTTCCGGGGCACCCAATTCACAGAATACCCATGCGTTGTCTTCTACCATCCTATCCTACCTCTATCAGGCCCCAGATATTAAGAGGCTCAAAAGTTAGGTAACCGAAATATATTTTAAGGATTTTTACGAAATATTTACGTCATTATTTTTAATTCAGTCTGTTCATTCTTAAAATTATCTAAATATATATAAAAATGTATTCTTGTTAGTTTGTTCTACATACAAATCTTTATTCTTAAATCGTGCTGGACCAAAGTTTGTATGTGTATTATTTACACCCTGGAATCGAGACTAAACTCTATACGGCTCCAAAATATTGATTTTATTTCTATACATCAATTAATTTCTTCCTACATTCGACTGACTGTCTTTATATGTAGCGCTATCTTTTGGCCTTATTTATATTTTTGTATTTGTTAATATATAATTTCTGGTGTTTAGTTTTTAGTTGTCGGTATAGGAGAAGATTAACTTACACTCGCTTAGAAAACAAGAATCACAATGCTATATGCGGTCATTATTTTAAAATTGAAGACTTATCAAATACACAATACAATCGATACTCACGATCGACACGCCTAGATAACATCGTAATCAATATCTCACTACATAGTTCCATTTCGATACATAGCATTTTTCTGTACACTAAGAGGAGCCCGTGGCAGATTCGGTCACAATAGAAAGGCAAGTGGTGCGAGATGGTCCCGAAATATCCGGGAAGAACCTCCCACGAAAAATTTCCTGGGCCATATCGACCGTACGGATTCTGCTTCGGGCATTCAGTGTGACGCTCTGATACTTTAGAATAGATTGATGAAATAAGGCAGCGCAACGGATGGGGGATCTGCTGAGGAGGAGTGCCTCTCGAAACGACTTCTATAGAAAATTGGCGCCTCTGTCTTTGGGTGTTAGACAAAGGAAGAAATCCGGAAAACTCCACGTGACCAGACCGTTGGTAAGGCGCCAACTACCAGTTTTCCGTGATTTTTATCCACTGGGTCACCGATGGGCTTTCTGGCGCCTTACCCATCCGGGTGGTCAAACTGCTCTAGAAGTTCTAGGCATACCAGCAAAATTTAAAAGATTTTTTCAAGTGCAACATTTTCTATTTAATTAATTAAAAAACTGTCTACAAATTGAGATACTACGTAATTAACTAATGGCAATTACATCAAAGAACTGTGAAAGTTTAGAATTTAAGACACTCCACTTACCTAATTTCCCGATTTCTATTTTGTTTCTGAAATAAACTCATCGAGCTTTTAGTTAAATTGGGTCTTTCTAGTGCTTACTTAGTGCGGCACTTAATTTACAAGAAGGAAAATATGAAGCGACGTTAGGAAGAAAAATGCGTGTAATCATCGATAATCGATATATCGACATATTTTATAGTCTGGCGGAGGTCACGTGTTCTTACGTAGGTTATAAACATTCTTTCGTAAAAAGAGCAGCAGAAACAAAATCGCGTACAAAAATTTGAACTTTTTCGGCTGCAATTTGAAAAAAGTTGGGCCTATAAATTGCCACTGTCGTCAGTCCGACTGTCTTTCCTTAATATCGAGAACCGTGTTAGATGAAAGGCGAGACGAGATACGGAAAGCTTGGGCAGGAGGCTCCGATTAAGTATATACGAACTATATATTAACTATATCACTTAAATTCAATTCAACTATTTCCCCTGAATGGAATTACATAGATGACTGGCATGACTCTGTTGTTATCGAGAAAAGTATGATGTACAGGGGCAAGACACTACAAATTTCAAATGGAGAACATATTTTTAATTTATTCAATTTAATAAAACATATGATTAAAAATTACAGCCCGGCATTGTGACGCGACAAGAAATATTTTGTATCGTTCATTGCTTTTTGCCCTTTAGTTACATATACCCAACAATGCATTTCGGACTCATTCCGAGTCCCTCTTCAGTTAATGTTTTTTATAAAGATAACAGAATAAAATATACTTACAAGATATACATCAGTTTCTTTACTTGTGATGTCTTCGTGATTATTTTTACCTTTTGATGTAACTTGTAAGTATATTTTATTTTGTTATGTTTATAAAAACACCAATTGAAGTGGGACTCCGATTGAGTTCAAAATGCAGTTTAGATGTATTGTATATGTTTTAGATTTAATCGTTGTAAAATTTCTTTATTCATTTCTAAGCTTACATATAAAATTTTACAAAAAATTTTCTTTAGTTTATCATTTTCGCTGGTGTTTATGATAAACCCCAAAATTTAAGTAACTGGTTAATTATCACAAAAAGTTAATTGTTTATTTTAATCTTATTGGTGCAAGATGCTTTTTCGTATAAAGTTCTTATTGTTTTTTCCCCTGAAAACATTAAAACAAAAGAAATATCTGAAATATTTTAATTCCATTTTAAATTATAAGTAAAAATCTTGTAGCTACTGCTACTTTATATGAAAGATGGAGGAAATTTCAATCAGAAAATCCAAGGAATAAATCCCTTGTTCACGCGAAGATGGTAGTTTGGGTTGGAGTAATCATTTGATCGACTGATTTAAGTAATAACAAAGAAACTATAGTAAATTGTGGGGTTGTGGCCACTGCAGTTATGCACGTTGCTGATCAGCATAGATGAGTGCGCTGTTTCCCATCTCTTACTGATAGATGGTGCTCTGACTCTGATACTGCCCATGTCAATAATTTAACATAGTTAATTATGGAAAATTGGATCAATACTATGAGAAATTTGATCAGACCCACACTAGTTTATCCCTAAAAATGGTTCCCAGGGCAGTAAGTTAACACCTTGCTGCACAGAAAACTGGCCAACAGCAGGGACATTAGGTCATTTGGAGCAAACTTAAGATCTTAACACTCCCTTTCTTATTCGAGGTTTGGGACATTGAGGACGTGATGACTCGGTTGACAACATCCACAGTCCACTTTTCCTCTCGGTGTCGTCTTATCGGATGCCAATAAATTACCCTTTATAATTTATTTTTCAAATAATTACACACTTTCTCTCTGTGCCTAAGGCACACACTCCCTTTCCAACAGGAAATGATACATGTAAACTTTGTCCCTAATTTTCTTGTAAACTTGCAAATAATTACAATATCCTAATTTAATGCAGCCTCTGGAGGTCTTCAGTTCCAAATTTATATATTATACATTTCTTTTTGGAACAATGTGATTGGATAAACTGCTACCAGTGTTGAACATGAGCTATGTATTTGTTCCACAGGATATTTACATAGATTCAAAAGCAAATGAAAACTTTACGTATGCAAGTATTAGTTTATATCCTAAGTGATTATTATTTACTAAAACAATGTTATCTGCAGTATCTTTATTTGAAAACCAAAAGATAATTTAACTATAGAAGAGTGTCTTTTCAGAAATTCAATTTCAATTTAGTTTTAGTCTGAAGTTTAATTTTGTAATTTACAATTTAAAAGATTTTTAAAGAAAAGTTCATTCTTGACATTTTAAAGGAATATTTTAAGATCAATATAAAAAGATTAGCTCATCATTTTTATTGATCTTTATTCTTTTGGTATGGAAGTTTTATAGATCAAAAACAAATTAAAAATTGTGCTTATTCAGTACAGTATTTGCTCAATATAGGATATGATAGACTACATTAACATATTTAATAGTGGAAGTCATTGAATGATTAGCCAAAAAATGCTGTGTTCATTGTTCTCTTCTCACAATATTCAAACTTCTCAAATGTCCTCTAATAGCTTGAATGCTATTCAAATTAATGATTTCTTCAAAAAGGTCTTTCAAAGGTTTTTGCTTCTTTCAAAAAATTGAAAGAAGCAAAAACCTTATTTATAATTTATTTTAAATTAAAAGTTCCAAAACAAGATTACCCACAATTCTGGGTGTTCCTGACATTTAGCATTTATTTTGACTAGTCATGTTTTGGATCTTTAAATATTTAAAAGCTTTTAATCCTGTATATAAATAGATTGCTTGTGATAAAATAGATTTTGTACTTTCACAGGATTAGTTTTTAGTTGTAGGTTCATATCAAAGTACAACTAAAAACATGGTGCAACTATCTAGATGTAGTTGCACCATGTTTCTAGTTGTATAATACAAAATGATGAAGTATGAAGGGACAAAAACTGCCTCAGGAGGAAGTTTAGGACTGTATCCTACTCTTCACATCGACTGCTCAGAGCAAGAGGGTTACAACTCAAAATTTTCGATGTTTTAGTTATTGTACTTATGGGAATGCTTGTATCGAGTTCTATCTTATGTATAA